CATCGTTCTGAAAAGCGAGGTGTGCTCTGATTGGCCAGCTATCCAGTGCGTTGTGATTGGCTGAATACCTCAGGTATTCGTGACATGGCAGCGGCGGTAACAATACTACAGCGAGAATAAAAGTTACACCTTCTTTCTTTGCATGAACATTTGGGCGGCGTTATGCAAATCTTCCCACATAGTGACATAGACACGTGGGGGTGTGTTAGAACGAGCCGTTTTAGGTAGGCGTGGTTGACTCTTAACTTTTATAAAGAATATCTCTTTGGATTTGAGACTTTAGTCTTTGCAACTTGACAGATCTTTATGCACCAAGAGCTTGTAACACTCCAAAGAGAAAGGAAATGAATTGAAATCGCATCATATGACCCCTTTAAGCTCCATTAGATGAGGCATGTTTGGAACATTCTCTTGCTGTTTACTGTTGCTGTCGGGAACTAAGGACAGCATTTAACGAACTTGCTTCAAAAAGTAACATTTCAATACATACATTTTTGGTTTTAATATTTTTTTATTGTGTGGTAACCGTTTTATAAAAGCAATAAGGTACTCCAGGAGGACTTATTGCTGAAGGGGTTGCAGGCACGAAGCGAAGGCTTCAGCCGTGATTTATTCACGATACAGCACGGCCTCTTGAACCTTATTGCTTACGTATATAGGTCGATATTTATTCTACAAATATTTTATTTTATTATTTTTTTTAAACATGCCTGGAACATTATTATATAGGTTTAAAAAAAAACTCTGAAGGGAAAAATGCAAATGTTACAAAAATAATTAATCGTGTGCATTAAAAACAAAAAAGCTAACGTTAGCATGTACATATACAACAGTATACAGTATATATATACAGTATTTAGGAGAACTATTCAGTGTGTGACTTTCTGAGAGCAACAGCGTTGATACGGGCATGCGCAAACAAAGCGGGCGTGTTTTAAATCAGATCCGCCCACATTAAGGGATGCCTGAAACTGCGCAGGGCAAAAGCGACCCTCTAACCGGGCTGGACAGCAACAGTCCGGGGTAATTAGATTCCGGCGTCACAAAAGACAAAACATTTCATTTCGTTTTAATACAAACCCATACTTCCAGAACTAAGGATATTAACCAACATTTATCTGGTGGTGTGTGATTTCAAGAACGCCAATTGACCCACAAGAGCAAGAAATCACTCAAAAAACGAGTAGAAGTTCACCGAAGTTTCTCAGTATTCATCATGGAGGAGAAGAAGGAGGAGAGCGAAGCGGAGATCCACGAACACGGACCCGAACATTGGTTCTCCAAATGGGAGCGCCAATGCCTCGCAGAGGCCGAAAGGGAAGAGCCGACCGAGGAGGAGGTGGACCAAAACCAGGAGAAACTCTGGCATCTCTTCCAGAATTCCGCTACGGCGGTGGCGCAACTTTATAAAGGTCTGTGCGCAGAGAAAGAGACCCCATCAGCGGCCCTCGGACTTCCAGTGGCTCGGCTAAAGAAACCGCCCGCTTCTAGAAAAATATCGCGTAAACGCGTTGTTTCTAGACTGAACCACGCCTTTCGACCTAAAAGCCCTTACCGGTCTCATCTGGCCACTAAAGTGCCAAAAGCAGCGTTTTATTCTTGTTTTTCACCGTGTGAATGATAACTAGCTTTAGCCGCGCCGGTCTGGCTGTGTTTGACAGTTTGTTCGTTGTTATTATAGTGGCCTTGCTAACCGGCTAGCCGGAAAGCCGGCTAGTTAGCCCTTAAACACGAGTTTTTTTGTTCCACTCGGCTAAACTGTTCTGTATTGAAGAAGCTTATTTTTAAGTGGAACACATTTACGTTTTACAGGCTTATGAAATTACAAATGTTGACAAAGCCCTGCCGGTCTTTGAGCTAGCTTGTGTCCTATTGTGGCTGTGTTTCAAAACCAAGTGTACTTAACTGCCTGCCATTGTGCAAGAGAGGCACGTTCGAACGCACCTATGTTACACTAATATGTTGTTTCTCACTAGGGGTTGAGACAGCCATTGTTTGGTTAACACAAGGGATACCCGAACTCGTTCTTAAGGGGAGAGTTATTTTACCCAAAAATCAATGCGCATATTTGTGTCAACATTTAGTAATATGGTGGTTATTGTTTGTTTAAAATGCAATAGAATTAGCCTAATATAAAATGGTTATTTAGTGTATATATATATTTATTTATTTTTTGTATGTAGATTTCTATCTATCTATCTATCTATCTGTGAAGTTAAGCTTTTAAGTTAAGCTTTTGCTTGAAATGTATCTTGGCATACTGATGTGCTGAACAAATGTGTAATTGGTGAGTGCTTCTTATTTTAACAATAAATTAGCTTTTTTTATGGTTAGGCACTTAACTCTTTGTAAATAGCATTGACATGGTTTTAATCCATTGCAAAACCAGCGGAATTTATCGTGTATTGTCTACACAGTTAGAAAAAGTATTTTCTATCAGTTTCCTAGTCTAGTGTAAAAGTTAACAATAGAAATCCTATCTGAATGCTTTTCTGGACCTATTTTAGTTATCTCTGTTGTCTTTAAAATCACATGAGCGTCCCTGATTTTATTCCTGACTTGCAGATCGAGTCTGTCATCAGCAAGGACTGTCATTGTGGTCTCCATTTCAGAATGCTGCAACAGCAGTGACTAATCTTTACAAAGGTAACTCATTATGTATTGAGTTTACACACATCTAGAGTCCAACACTGTTGAATAAATTGCATACATAATTACTTCTGACTGTGATCTGTTCAACAGAGAGCATTGATGCACACAAGAGGAGCTTTGACTTAGGAATCCAGACTGGTCATCAGCGACGTAATAAAGATGTTTTGGCCTGGGTAAAAAAGCGAAGAAGAACTATACGAAGGGAGGATTTGATAAGTTTCCTATGTGGTAAAGCGCCACCACCAAGGACTTCTAGAGCAACCCCCAAACTGACTGTCATGTCTCCGAACCGACCATCTTCATCGGACACAGTATCATCTGTAGAGACTGATTTACAACCATTCTGTGAGGCCATAGCACTACATGGTAAATATTACTGCCCGCTCATAGTTAAGATACAGCCGACTGAACATGATTGTGTTTGTCAGTGCGCATATTTGTCTTAACATTTAGTGACTACACTTTGTAGTTTACATATGGTGGTTACTTTTTTTATATGATTGAAAACTATGCAATGCTTATATATATATATATATATATATATATACACATATACATACAGTATATGTTCATATTATTTGTTGATTTAAGATTCTTGTTTTTGCCAATCATTTGATAATTATTTGTATAGGCTGGCAGACATTCATGGTTCAGGGACAAGGACTGTATACCCATATGTTCGTTTAGGTTTATTTTCAAGTACAGCATTCCATACCTCTACAAACATAGCATCACTGTAATACACTGGAAATATGAAGTTGCGTTCACGTTACCTACAGTTCTTACCACTTGTTATTTAGAGGTTTTTGTTAAAGCACAGCCAGCTAAACCCACCACATCCTTGTTTAAGATGTATCATTATTCATGGGTAGCAAATGTGGTGATGACACATAGTTGCTCAGTATTTTTAAAGTGTGAAAAGGATCACGTGATGAAACGTGAAAGCATGTGCATTAAATCTCATCTTTGGTTCCAGGTCTAAGTGGTGCAATGGCCAGCATCAGCGTCCGCTCAAGCACTCCTGGCTCTCCGACTCATGTCAGTGGCAGCTCAAATGCAGGGCGCAGAAGGAACGGACTGCACGATGTGGACTTGAACACTTTTATATCAGAGGAGATGGCCCTCCACCTTGGCAGTGCAGGCACCAGGAAGCGGACCTCGGTCCAGTGCGCCGACGTCATCACAGACTCCCCAACCCATAAACGCAACAGAATGCTCTGAACTCAGTTGTTGTTCTGTATGCTTTGTGCTGCTTAAAATAAAAGCCACTTGATCCTCAACACTTGCGTTTCCTCAAAAAGGAAACAAGGGGCGCAGTACACTTGCATATTCAATACAGTATGCCATACAGTGAAGGCTAGTTCATACCGCTCCATGCATGTTGATTTTTTTTTTTTTGCACTCACCACACCACAGTCAAGTGACTAAATTGTTTTTTGAGTTGTATGCTGTCAGTCCCCATTTTATTGAAAACATATTAACTACAACATTACAACATCACAATAGCCTATTTTTAGTTCACAATATCTCCTAGTTGTGCTTCCTAGTATTGCCAAGCTAATAACTCAATGTTTGTTTTCAGATAAAGGTGTCAGCATTAGCTCATTTCCCATCAGTATATTATCAGTTCTCCTTTGCACTCATTGAATCGCAGTTCTGTTGTGATCAGCTTAGAAATGTGCAAATTTATTAGTCATACTTGAAACTGCTGCTGATCTATACGTTTGTGTTATGTTGAGAAAGTTGCAATAATGATTTTGCACTAATACATTTTTTTGAATGAACCATATAGACATCAAAAGAAAGGCAAAGGAAGTGAGGCTTATGATACAATGGTGCAATTGTTGACATTTTACATTTCAAGGCTGTTATGATTTGGTTCAGGGGTTAGGTAAATCTTTGTGCTGTACGAATGATGTTCAGCAGAGCTTTCTCTCAGGAGAGGTACGGAAGTAGAGAAAAACTGTGTCGTCCTGAAATTGAAGTGCCCTTTAAGTGCTTTTCAAATCCAGGTCAGAGGATTTGGAGAGCCGCACATGTACAGTCCAGCTTTGTTCTGATGTATGGAAGTCAAGCTGGACTATGACCCCCTTAAAAGTAGAAATGTACGTTAATATGAGCTCCTGGGTAATGAAAGTGTGTGCTCTTTTGGCTGATGCACTAATATACCACTCTTGATTTAACATGATGGGTTGTCCTTATTTCTTATATAAGATACTTTAGATAGAAAGGCCAATTGAGTGTTTGGCATGTCAGGTAACTGGTGGTGGGGAATCATGTGGAGTGTATTTTCTGTCAAATCCCAATCAAACTGCTTTATGCAGACATTTAATTACAAATGTTTCAGAACCTGTTTGATTTGTTTCTGTAATATGAATATTGGCTATTTGGTTATTGATTTCATTACTAATTCCATAAACATTTGTTTGCCATAAATTAACATGGATCTAATATTGATTGCTCCGAAAAATAAGTGTTTATCATCGATTGAATTGACACGCAATGCATTTTGTTGATTTAAAGGTCAGGATGTAAAGCTAAAATTTTGTTCATGTCGGGTTGGGAACCTGTTTGATTTGTTTCTGTAATATGAATATTGGCTATTTGGTTATTGATTTCATTACTAATTCCATAAACATTTGTTTGCCATAAATTAACATGGATCTAATATTGATTGCTCCGGAAAAATAAGTGTTTATCATCGATTGAATTGACACGCAATGCATTTTGTTGATTTAAAGGTCAGGATGTAAAGCTCAAATTTTGTTCATGTCGGGTTGGAAAGTAAAATCGTCTTTTATCCAGAACATCATAATGAAACCACAGTTGCCATTTTTGAAAAACCTGCTTAAGTTAAAGGCTAAGTTATTAAAGTTACACTTGTATATTCACATGAATTGTGTATGTTTTGTTTACAGTATTTTAACGAAAATAGAATTTGTCACATCCAGTTGAGCCCTGAAAACATTCACTTGTACATCTACTGATTAAAGCAGTGATTCTTGTTCAGTAATTAAATGGATCTTTATACATCTATTGTGTCACAGCAGTAGAATTTGGACATAACTGCACATGTATGCAATGCATTGTTGTGAGTTGTGCAAAAAAAGTAGAGGCACAAGTCAGTGAATGCAAAACCTTCCTCCTGACAAACTAAATCTTTACTGGATGTACACCTATCGTGGATAGATGGAAAATATTTCAAATCATTGCGATTCTTGTGGTTTTGCCATATGCATGGATAGTATTTACTGTGAAGTGCTTCAGTAACTGATGCTCAACTGCCCTCTTGTGGTAATTAATATACTAACAAAAAAAAGTTATTGACCTAAATTTTTTGTGAAGAAAATTAAAATATGCGCAAAACAACTGACGTTCAGCTAAATGTTTCAATGTACTATTTAACTATTTATTAGCAAATTAATTTAAAATATAAAAATTATATAATATAATAATATATTTTAAAAAGTCCATTCCTTAACTATTTGATCTTAATCTTATTTAATTTTTACACACATTGAAGTGTTGACTGCATTCAAAAGCTCAACACTGAACCTGTCATTGTTTTTTTTTTTATTTATGGAAAATTTATTTAAAATTTTATTAAAAAGTAGTTGAACGAAAGCTTTAAAATTGCATTTCTCTTACCTATAGTTGTACAATTATTTAATTTATTTTAACTGCAAACAGCATTTTATTTATAAGCTTTATAAAATTGAACTGAAACATGCCCTAAATTTAGGGTTGCACAAAACTTAATAGAAAAAACAAAACAAAAACAAAAGACGTAATCTTTTTTAACTGATCACTTGTTTAAAAAAAAGAAGAATTTCAGGCCCTGTTTTACCCTTTTTTGTGCAAAGTACCATCTGTCTTGTCATCAATAACTATTATTACACACTAATAGTGTAATCTATTAACTACACATAAAACCCGACTTTTTACGTAAGTACCAGATGGGTGTCATGCCATAAAATATTTTTAATACGACTGACTTTGTATTTAATGAGAATTTAATATCAATATTGTAAGTTACTAATTATAACATTTTCATTTTACAGAGAGCAAAGAACATTTACATTATCAAAGAACATTTTCATTCAGTCTAGCCAGAGACACTCTCAAAAACTCCCATTAAAATCACTGAAGCTGTTTACACTGTGAAATGAATCTCTTACTTACATTCGTTCGCACATCTGCACTTTGTTGTTTCTGACGAGAGCAAAACACCGCGTTTCAGCGATGACTCAGCTGAACGTCTCTGATTGGCCATTGCATTCATAAGCTCAACAGAATAGTGTGTGATTGGTTATAATGCGCAGCACTGTAAAAACGCGTCTGTCTCTGGCTCAGCGCCAGCCGGCGAACACAGATTTGAATTTAGCAGCTGATGCTGTGCCGCACTGAACGATTTAATCACACCAGTGCTATTGTATCAAATATAAAAAAAATATTATTGGGCTATTTTTGTCTTTTGGAAGCTGCATTCAAAATGCACTTGGCTCAGAAATCCCCCTCACTTTGAATGGGCATGACGCCTCTGCTTGTCATGTTGTATTTTCTAGGATGTTGACAGACAGACAAAGACAGACAGACAGATAGATAGATAGATAGATAGATAGATTCCATAAAAAACTGAGAATGTGCTGGCAGAAAATTACCAGGACATTTTCCTGTGAGTTTACGGACATTTCCTTCAACTCTAAAACGGAAAATTCTGGAGATCTTCTGTACCATTAACGGACAATTAGCAAATAAATCCAGCACAATATATACAAATTGAACATGGTTTATTTTTTCCTCATTTAAACAGTCTTAGAAGTTTATTAAGCCACTGGATTCACGTAGGCTACTTAATGATGTCTTTATCCCTTTCTGAACCTTGAAAGTGGTAGTTGCATAGGCTGTCAATGGGAGGAAAGAAAGCACTCAGATTTCATTAAAATGATCCTCATTTTGATATAATATTTCAACCCTTTAAGGTAGACTACTCTACTCTAATTCATGCTAAATTATCTTGTTAAACTTCAACTGGCGTGGTTCTGCAACAATGTTTTCCTGTACAGCATTTGAAAATATGAAACAAAGATTCATGCACTCATGCCTGACATTTCAATATGAAACTACAAAGAAAACTGTACAATCTGAATTAAGAGCAAACAGTGAGACAAATGCCTGTTTGTGCTCTCTTAGATCTCTCGTCATGTGCAAGTTTGAGGAAACAACTGAATACAGCCTCCAGTTTATTTATTTATTTTTTCTTTTTCTGCATGTTCAGTCAAGTTCCATTTGACTTTACTTGACATTTTACAACTTCATGAATTCAGCTGAAACAAGTATGCACACACATAATGTATGTGACTGAAGAGGAATTATGCTCATGCTGACCTCTGTCTCCAAGGGTAACAGTGCAAGAAGTTTTAATAATTTACATGAAAATAGGAGGGTCATTATTTCATGAATATATTGAAATAATATTCAGCCGTTATGAATGTCACTGCACAGGTTATTTTCTTCCTTAGATATCCGAATGACCTGATGAAACCACGATGAACTGGTCTCTGGTTTGGCTGAAGGGGGAGGTCACTATAATCAGCTGTTCTCTACTGCAGCTAGAAAACACAACACTGGGTGGCGCTGTTACCACAGCTGTGTGACCAAAGGACGAAATACTCACCAATCATCAAGGTTATCTAATATTATTAAGCAGGCTCCAGCATCCAGGATCCAGGCTCAAGTATCTCATAATCAGAAAGGTAATGAATGTAATCTTTAAGTATGACATAACATATGTTCATGATATTTAAATAATAATCGAGGGGAAACTAATAGCAAATAGCAGCAACATCAAGCAAAAAACACTACAGTAGGCCTACATGCAATCCAAATGCATCACATAGCCTACGTATTTTGAAGTATGGATGAATTATCTGACAGTGCCACTAGGATATGAAATGGAGAATCTGACCTTGTGGGAAACATCCGTGAAAAAGCAATAACGGATGGGTCAAATGACCATGTGCTGGCGATTCATTTTCTCTAAACACCATAACACACTTTAATTTTTATAAGCATATATACAAATTTATTATGAAATTGAATTTGGATAGAAAAAAATCACCCACCAATGTTGACACATTATCATGTAACTTTATGTAAAGTTATTTATTAGCACTATTATGACTGTCTGCTCAACAGTTGGTCTGATTCAAGGGTAATCAGCAGTTTTTTGGACAAAAGGCAGATGTTAGTGGATGCTAATATCATTTAGCAGATGCTTTTTTTCCCATTGTGTCTCACTAATTGTAGTTTCTGCTACCTGGGGTAAAAAACATTAGCACATGGGAACAATGGTGATTGTTATCACAGTAGCCTAATTCACCACTTCCTGGGTCACCCCTAGGGGTACAAAAAGCTCATTTGAGGGGGATATGCATGATTTCACTCCGAACCCCATCTAGTATTTTATGCTATTGGTCATCGGCCCATATGCCCTGTGTGTATTTTGCATAGCCCATTTTTGCACCCCTGATCACCCCATCAAGATAAAATGTAGGCCTACATAATTCTTGCAGAAAATTTTTTTTTTTCATTTTCAGTCCATTTTTTATTACACTTGGTGGCCTTTTGACCTCTTTTATTTTCTGTTTCTCCTCTCCACCTGAGCGGGTGTAAATGAAATCTCACATTCTGTACTGAATTACAATGAATTCCTCCTATTCTATAGCAGTGATGTAGGAGCGACTTCTGTATGTATCAGACACCGACCATGAACAATTTATGAAGCCCATAAGCTGAGCTTGACAAGAATGTAATAGCAGGCAACAAAACGCATTAAACTTACCCATTGCACAGATCCTATAGATCCAGATTTTGACAATGACCTGCGCTCAAGTTATGAGTTCAGATATATCAAGTCCTGTGCACTGGCTGCAATATAACAAAGAGTGAAACATTTAAGGGGGTCTGAATACTTTCCGTACCCACTGTATATGAGATATTCATGAAACTGTATTTTTGCTGTGTTACGCGTGTGAATAAATGGTTGGAAGGCTGCTCATATGATCATGATCACTATCTTATGTAGTATGTATGAGCTATGCAAGTACATTCAAAATCAATAACTGCATCTGTACAGTGATATCAGCTCATATTTAACTGTCAAAATATCCCATATCCATCTCAAGATGTTATGAAAATGTCTCTACAAATGGAAATAATCTTCATGTCACATTTTTGTTCAGAAGCCAATGACTTTTTATTTATGTCAGTTGACATCAAAGTTGAGATTATTATTATCTGCATGCAAAAACTGGTGACTTTTCAGCATAAAATGACAAAGTTATAGCTGTATAATCATATAAAGAAGAATAAAATTAGAAAATAAGCAAAAGTTCCCACCAAGAACAATAGGGCTCCAGCAGTTTTATTGCTCAGACCCCTAAATAAAGGGATGAAAACAAAGCAGTGTGCGAACACAGAATTTAATGTTATGCCCCTGTTACTCAATATAACAGACACCTCCAAAAACAGAAACAAACACAGTCTGACTCAGAGCTGGCATTAGGCTTGGCGTGGATATATTCCTAATTCCATCTGAATCATTCATTATGTGCTCTGCTCAACAAAGGAGGATAGAGACATGGGAGCAGAGGAGCCCTGAAGGTAGAACGCCGGCAGACCAGCAGAGCGCAGGGGACCCGAGAGCACATGTTTTTCTGCATTAATCCCCATTTCCTGACATCAGGCTTCTATTTTCTTTCACTGTCTCTATCAATTTAATGAAAAATGCAACACCACTTTCCCATCCTGAACTTCCTTGTCTGCAGACCTTAAATTATGGATGCTGCCCTCAGAGCTGATCTATGAGCACAAAGTGATGCACAGGGCTTGAAACATTGAAGAACTTTTTTATTATTATTATTTGTGGGTCTGTGCGGTAGTTCCTCTCTCCTTCTTTG